TTGGAGAAGATGATTGAAGTCTGGATTTACATCTTTTATATGCAAGTCTTTGAGCTTGCTGCACACAAAAGGAAATTCCCATGATAATACCACGTAGCTATGTCCGTTCTGGGAATGTAACACACACATGCATAGACACATAAACACAATGAGATGGCCGCCAGCTGGTTTTCTATTCAGCTGCCATCTATAATTAGGTCTGGGCTATTATACATTCTGGCTTTTGATTATTGAAAGCAACAACAAACAGTTTTGGACTTTAACTACTAAGACACAGCTAAGGTTTGGGCTTTTCTTAATGAGGGAAATGAGTTCGTAATTCTCTTGCCAACAGTTAATCTTGGATTTTCTCCTCCTAGGCTTCCAAGAACAAAACACTTGTTAAATGTCATCAATGAAAACTTTGGCACCCTTGCCTTCTGCCGCAGATGGCTGGATCGCTTGGGAGAAAGTAAATACTTGATGGCTCTGAAGAATCTGTGTGACTTGGGCATTGTAGATCCATATCCACCATTATGTGACATTAAAGGATCGTATACAGCTCAATTTGAACATACCATACTGTTGCGTCCAACATGCAAAGAAGTTGTCAGCAGAGGAGATGACTATTAAACTTAGTCCAAAGCCACCTCAACACCTTTATTTTCTAAGCTTTGTTGGAAAACATTATACCAGAATTAATTTGCAACATATCTGTTTTAACAGTGGACCCATGTAATACTTTTATCCATGTTTAAAAAAAAGAAGGAATTTGATCAAAGGCAAACCGTCTAATGTAATTAACCAAGGAAAAAGCTTTCAGGACTTTTAAATGTTGACTGTTTTCCCCTTCCTGTCTAGGAAAATGCTATAAAGCTCAAATTAGTTAGGAATGACTTATACGTTCTGTTTTGAACACCTAAGAGATACTTTTTGAATATTTATATTGCCATATTCTTACTTGAATGCTTTGAATGACTACATCCAGTTCTGCACCCATACCCTCTGGTGTTGCTTTTTAACCTTCCTGGAATCCATTTTCTAAAAAATAAAGACATTTTCAGATCGGAGAGCTACATCTCAATGTCTGTGGTTATAATTCTCGACAGGATAAATAGCTAAACTTAATGCAGAGAAATGCAGAGTGATTAATCTGAAATGTAGGCCTCTACACTGAGACTCTTCTGGCATAGTGGCTAAAACAAGATCTACACGTGCATAAGAGGGACAATCATCTTTTCTTCATAAACATACAGCTTTAGGAATATTTTGCCATTTTCTATAGGACGGATTAGTCTTTGTCTTTTTTTCCCCTGACATTGGAAAGACATACTAACTGAAACATGACTTAGTAGGAACATTTCCAACTCGAAACCTTGATTTAGTAAAAATCTCAATGTTTAGATCCTTTGTCCAGTGGCAGTATTTATCAGGGAATGTACTCAGCTTGCTCAGAAAACCAAAAGGGCATTAAAGCCATGAAAGCAAAGAAGAAAAAAAGTTTCCCATGTTCCGATCTTGTTCTGGTTAGAAAAATTAAATTGAAATTACTGGGGTTTTTCATTCATCAGGCAAATGCTATAGTACCTTGCCCTTTGACAGGTTTGTATTCTTAACATTACTAATGGTATTTCAGGAAGTGAGGTTACAGTTACTTTCCTTTTAGCGGCTAAGTGTATTAAGTTGAATGTAACAATGATAATATTAACTTGTTTGAACTGAGGCCCGCTACTGATTCTTTAAGAAATTGCTTGAATTCTTATATGTAAATAATTTTATGGGAATGTTCCATCATAATTTCTAAATTGTTTATATACCAAGGTAGCCTTAATTTGTGTATGTTTCAGTACAATGAGATTTTATTGCCTCCGGGATGCTGTTTAGTTTGTATTTTGTTGAACGTTTTTATCATAGGAAGAGAAACCTATGACTTCTGTACCTAGATCATTTGTTACATTAAAAAGCTGCTCTTTCAGCATTAGAGCTATAAATGAATGTTATCTTGTGGGGAAACAATCTAGTTTTTAGCTGTATGAGCTGTTTATTATGGTGCTAATGTTCAATAGCCACATTTTACTAATTTCTCCATTTTCTGTGATGCTGTGGCTAGCAACAGAGCTCTCCAGTTCATGCCTGGATATACTGTCAGGGCTGGGCCCTCCAGCTAGCTTCTTTGGGGTTGAGTCCATATCTTTTTGATGTGGAAGTATATAAAGTAAGTATCTTGATTTCTAAACCCAGGAATTTTAGAATTGGCCTTTATGAGTGAAGAGACTTTTGGAGCTTTTACAGATCTTGGCAGTCGTGATCTCAAACCAATTATGAGCTCCAAGCTCCCTTGCCAGGTAACTGCTGGGAGCAATGGCATCACTGTATGCCCTTGTAATGGCTGGAAGGGACATGATCTTGTAAGTAGGAAAGCTGTCACTTAAAATTGTATTGTTTGCATATTAGTCATGTATCTCTTAAAATTTTGTTATGTTTACAATGATGTACCTTATTGGCAACAAATTATTAGTTTGATGTTTAACAATAGTGCCTTTAGTAAATTATTTTACAACCAAAACATGTTGTTTTTTGTTAGATCAACTTAGCAGAATGTAGACGTCCATGTTGAGCTTTAAGATACATAGTAAGAAATCTAAGTTTCTGTTTATTGTTTAGGTTTTAATTTTATCTTTGGTATTTTGAGATGTTTTTAGAGCCAGTTTAGGTTCATACTAAAATTGAATGGAAAGTACTACAGATTTCCCATATGCCCCAATAACATCTCCCTCCTTCAGGCCTCCCCCTCACAGGTGTTAGTTTTAATGGATTACAAAGTAAAGGGCTAAGTCACTTTCTCATATATTTTTGTATTGAAATAAGTACAAGCAACTATACCATTACAAATAACATAGCTGATGAGTTTTTTAGAATTCCATTAAAATTACGTGCTAAAATGTAAAAATGACATTTTTTAAATAGTCCTTGAAATTAGAAAAGGCTAGACTCTGGTAACTTGACCACATAAATTTTTAATGAGGTATTAAGTGTGTAACAGTTGAGGTAACAATTTATATAGGTATTATGAACAATTTTGAACATAGCCAATCATTTTTGGCACAAATAATTTGTTTAGTGTTAAAGTCTGATTGCACTTCACTATCAGCTAACAACTTATTTTGTGAAACTTAAGAAAAATTTACTGGTAGACATTTCTTTCAAGTCTGTACTTAAAGATGAACTAGTGGTGAACAGCATTCTACAGGATATTATCTTTCACTAAGACTTCAACCTGCAAATAAACCCACTTTAAAAAAAGGATAGGCCTGGCGCAGTGGCTCATGCCTGTAATCCCAGCACTTTGGGAGGCTGAGGCAGGCAAATCATGAAGTCAGGATTTCCAGACCAGCCTAGCCAACATAGTGAAACCCCGCCTCTACTAAAAATACAAAAAATTAGCCTGGCATGGTGGCGGGTGCCTTGTAATCCCACTTACTCAGGAGGCTGAGGCAGGAGAATCGCTTGAGCCCAGGAAGCAGAGGTTCCAGCGAGCTGAGTTCGTGCCACTGTGCGACAGCGGGACTCCATCTCAAAAAAAAAATAAATAAATGATCTTTCTGTGGTTACCGCTGAGCTTAGATATTATATAGCTGGTCTACAGAGATTAGTTAATTCTGCCCTCTCCCAATAAGATAAGTTAGCAGCAACAGGACTTGAAAGAGTGACTCACACTGTTTTTTTTTTTTTAATGGAAGTTTAAATAGCTTTTAATTTTTTTTTTTAATTCTCAGGGCCAGTGTTGAAGAGGCTCCTACCTAGTAGACACATAATCCTAACAAGAGTAAGTAATCAAGCTTTAGTTATTTAGGAGAATGAGATGCTAGACATATAGTCCAGTAGCCAATTTTCAACAGGTACCTTTTCTGCCCTATAATTATTTCTCTTTAAGACTCTTATTCCTTTGAACTAAAAAAATATATATGAAGTTTTAATGTCATTAGACATTACAAAATGAACTCATGCCCAAGGTAAACTATTTGAATAACATCATACACTGGTTTGCTGAATTCAGACATTTTATGATTGCTTTATTAGACTACTGGACAACTGTTTGCTGCCAGACAAAAATAATAAATCCCAGCCATCATTTTTTCATGTCCATAGTTCCAAAGTTCACTTAAATATACTATTTGTAAAGCTGCCATTTTTATGTATAGTTTGACTATGCCAAGTAAAGAGCAATTACTAAAACAATTATTATGGGGTTACATTAACCAAAATCATGTCTATTACAAGGCCTGTTAACACACAAAGCCTCAGAAATACCAGTGAGTGAGTGTGACTGATGAATATTTAGGTGATACCTTGATATGTCACTTCAGTAACTCCAAGGGGCAAGGTAATTTCAGTATACAAATGGCCTGAAAGAAAGACTATTAGTGACCAAAGTAGAGTCTAATTTTTCCATCTATTGAGAATTTGTAAAAAGCCAGGCGCGGTGGCTCACGCCTGTAATCCCAGCACTTTGGGAGGCTGAGGCGGGTGGATCACGAGGTCAAGAGATCGAGACCATCCTGGTCAACACGGTGAAACCCCGTCTCTACTAAAACTACAAAAAATTAGCTGGGCATGGTGGCGCGTGCCTGTAATCCCAACTACTCAGGAGGCTGAGGCAGGAGAATTGCCTGAATCCAGGAGGCGGAGGTTGCGGTGAGCCGAGATCGCGCTATTGCACTCCAGTCTGGGTAACAAGAGCGAAACTCTGTCTCAAAAAAAAAAAAAAAAAAAAGAATTTGTATACAAAATAGCTGAAAAAGATAATAAGTATATATAAAATGATGCCACCTGAACTTTGTTGGTAGAAGACTGCACAAATTCATGATCTGAGCCCGTTAAGACATAAAAATATAAAAGAGGTAACAGTCTGAGGTAAACACCAAAAGTTTAAAACTCCAGATTTTAAACAGTGTATAACAACAGTGTATATACAACAGTATATATACAACTCCAGTGTATATACAACTGTCTATACCTTAAGTTGATATACACATATTTGTACTTTGGGGGAAGAAAAAGTTTTGTTGTAGTTAGATACAAAATATATAAATGTAGTGTGCACTGATTCATAAGAAAAAAATAATGAAGCTTAAAATGGTACATCAGCCCTTTTTAAAAGAATATATATAAATCACAGGAAGAAAGTCCCATTGTCTTTGGATCAGCTAAGGATTTCATTAGAAGAGGTATCAGCTTCTTCATTGGGATGTTGGCTCCCAGACAGGAGCTCTGGAGGCAAAAGTTTAGAATGTCCATTTTCAGTAACTCGTTGGGTATAAAACAAGATATAAGCTTGGGCCTTGCATACTTCATCCATAGTGCACATGCTTAGCTTGGAATCATTGCAGTGTACCCAGAACCCTAGAGCAAAGCACAGAAATATGTTTATATAGGGACTTTAGGAAATTCTAGTATGAAAGGCATTAAGTTTGAGTGAAAATTAAATTTTTTCTGAAGGGAAAATAATTTTCTAGCCAATTTATTTTTCTTTTATTTAATGAGAAATATAAATTGGGCAGTACCCTGGAATTATCTACCTTTATTTTAGAAGTAGCTTGAAGTTTACAGTAAGCATCTGACTGATTAGAGTACCTGACACTATTCCTTGTATAAACCTACCAGTTAATGCTTTTGCCACTAATCATACAGGCTGATCATCCCCAATTCCAAAATCTGGCCGGGCATGGTGGCTCACACCTGTAATCCCAGCACTTTGGGAGGCTGAGATGGGCAGATCACCTGAGGTCAGGAGTTGGAGACCAGCCTGGCCAACATGGTGAAACCGTGTCTCTACTAAAAATACAAAAATTCAGGTGTAGTGCGCATGTGCAATCCCAACTACTCGGGAAGCGGAGGTTGCGGTTAGCCAAGATCATGCTGCTGCACTCCAGCCTGGGTGACAGAGTAAGACTCTGTCTCAAAAAAAAAAAAAAAAAAAGCAAATAGTATACAACTAACTTGGCAGTTTAGTGTTGAGTTGCCTTGGTGGATTAGCTGGGCTTCTTATCCTCACTTCTCTTTTTCTGTTTGGGGTGTGTGGGGTTGAAGATGGGAGATGGCGTTTCATACTTTGTTCAACAGTATCAAAAGGGGAAGAAAGGCTGGGCATGGTGGCTCACGCCTATAATCCCAGCACTTCGAGGTGGGCATATCAGGAGGTCAGGAGATCAAGATCAACCTGGTTATCACAATGAAACCCCATCTCTACTAAAAATACAAAAAATTAGCTGGGCGTTGTGGCACGAGGGTGTAGTCCCAGCTACTCAGGAGGCTAAGGAAGGAGAATCACTTGAACCCAGGAGGCGGAGGTTGCAGTGAATCGAGATCACACCACTGCACTCCAGCCTGGTGACAGAAGAAGGTTGGGGAGGGCAGGAAAAAAAAAAAAATGAAATCTCAATCTAATCACTTTTGCTAGAACTACACTAGAAGGCAGAAAATAAAAGTGAGTTTTGTATGTTAAACTTGAACACAGTGTTTGCTCCAACTATCTGTGATCCCCCAGTTCTATTTCTTTAAAAAAATTAACTGAGGTAAGCCAGTAAACATAGGATCTGCTTTTCAAAGTGTGTCTTTAACACTCACTTTTAGTTAGCAACAAGACTATTCCTATTACTGTGTCCCTCCAGCCCTTAGTCAAAAGTACTGCAAAACCAGAAAATACTTGATACATAAACTCTGATTTTTTTAATACCTCCAGAGGTATTCTCTGTAGTCAATTTAGAAATCATTAAAGGCTGAACTCCAGCTTCCAAGTCCAACCCAAGATAAAATACTTTTTCTTATCTATACCTCCTTCAGAATTATAGCAGTAGGCAGTGTAGTGCCCTGAGCCAAATCCTTTCCCATGGTGCATCACCACTGCAGATAAGTCATAGATAAAGCATTCCGGTCTGAGGGATTTCAGGGTCTCCCTGCAGCAATAGGGCTCCATGTTTAAGATTTCCTCAAAGACAACATGAACACCAATCTTTTCTCTGTTATTGCGTCCTGACCACCTGTGAACAAACCGGAGTCAAATTATCAACACAATTAAGGGAAAATAGCCATGTACTAGGTCTAGACAGTTGTAACACATGACCCCAGGCAATGTGGAATACAAATTATATATAAAATTCTTTCAATGCTGAAGTTGGCTATACATGGAGGAATTTTGGCTTATTTTGCTTTCATGTCTTTAGATGATAGTAGGAAAAAAATACTAACTTTTGGAAAAGTATTGCCTTATGGGGGCATTTACCCCCTAACAAAAGTCAAGGCCATGAAAGGGTTGGGTTTTGTTTTGTTTTGAGACGGAGTCTTGCTCTGTTACCCAGGCTGGAGTGCACTGGTGAAATCTTGGCTTACTGCAACCTCTGCCTCTCAGGTTCAAGCCATCCTTCTGCCTCAGCCTCCCAAGTAGCTGGGACTACAGGTGTGTGCCACCACACCCAGCTAATTTTTGTATTTTTAATAGAGAGGGCTTCACCATGTTGGCCAGGCTGGTCTTGAACTTCTGACCTCAAGTGATCCGCCTACCTTAGCCTTCCAAAGTGTTGAGATTACAGTTGTGAGCCACTGTGCCCAGCCCACCATAGGGTTTTTAATTCCTTATTGTCTTGCCATGGTCTGAAGAGGGTTATCCCAGATGGGAGACAGTCTGGATCCTTCTTGGCCAGGTATGGAGGAAAACAAAACAGGGCACTTCTTCTAATTCCTCAGAACACTTCAGAGATTTTCAGACTTAAAAAATAGGAACTGTGTCCCCTTGCTGTGTGTACATCAGCACAACCACCCATTAGTGACAGAACTCAAAGAATGCCCTTATCCTGTCATTTTCTCAGTCTGTTGGTCATATTTCCCATGACTGGATCTCAGCATGGCCAGCCGTATGTTTATCAATATGCATAATGAGTTGGTGCTATGAGGGGTAAATACTGTAATGTGGTAGTTTAAGAGATTATATAGTCCAGTTTGGGGTAGTATGGTACAGAGACAAGGTGGACAGATTAAAATACAGTGGTAAAGTACTAAAACATGAGCTTCAGACAAATAACAGCAGGTAGAGAAGGGAGAGACAGGAACATAATTTTATGATGGAAAAAAATAAATGTGAAAATGCTTGGTACAGTGTAAAATGATATGGAACTAAAGATGAACCATGCAAATTATGTTATCTGCTGGACTGTAAGTCATATTCCAATCTCTCTGTGTAGTTGTGAAATACATATTTGGTCTTCCAGTTTCCTGAGATACATCTCCTAAAATTCTTGGAATCCCTGGAGTGATAAGAGTGTCTTTTGTATGCTAATGAGACGACTGGTAGCTGGCAACCCCTAGATAGCTTCAGGATGTGGGCTAGACCTGGGAATGACTAGAGAGGGTTGGCACTTTCAGCTTCCTCCCCTATACTGCCCTCCACCCCCAGAGGGAATGGGGGAGGGTGGGGGGGTGAATGATGTAATCAATCATGCCTGTGTACTGAAGCCTCCATAAAAACCCAAAAGGTTTTTATGGAGCTTCCAGATAGCTAAACATGTTGAGGTTTCTGGAGGGTGGCACCCCCCAGGGAGAATGTGGAACCTATACACCCCTTCCCAGAAGCCATGCCCTACACATCTCTTCCACGTGGCTGTTCATATGTATCCTTGAAACTCTCCTTTGTAATCAATGTGTAAACACAAGGTTTTCCCAAGTTCCGTGGGTCCCTCAACCAAATTAATCAGACCAGGGGAGTGGCTAGTGGGAATCCCATTAAATTTACAGCCAACAGGGTGGTCAGAACTTCCACAAACCTGGTGTTATGACTGGTGTCTGAAGTGGGGATCAGTCTTGTGGGATTGAGCTCTCAATGTGTAGGATTGGATGCTACCTCCAGGTAGACAGTGTCAGAACTGAATTGGAGGACACCCAGCTGGTGTCCGCTGCAGAAGTGACTGCTTGGTGGGGAGAAATCTCCTGCACATTTTGGTAAGCAGAAGCCACATTCGTATTCTCTGTTGTAAGAGTATGGTAGGAGAAACTGAGTTTGGTTTTTCCAGTATCTCTCAGCCAGGTGCAGTGGCTCATGCCTATAATCCCAGCACACTGGGAGGCTGAGGCAGGCAGATTGCCTGAGCTCAGGAGTTTCCAGATTAGCCTGGGCAACATGGCAAAACCCTGTCTCTACCCAAAAAAAGGAAATACAATAAAATGATGAAGAACAACAAGATAATACTATACCCAAAATTCATAATGGTTTGCTTCTGAGGAGAGGGGAAAGGAGTAAGGACAGGCACACAGGGGACATCTAAGGCATTAGAAATGTTTTACCGGGTGCAGTGACTTACACCTGTAATCTCAGCACTTTTTTTTTCTTTTCCTTTTCTTCTGTTTTTTTGAGACAGAGCCTCACTCTGTCACTCAGGCTGGAATATAATGGCATGATCTTGGCTCACTTACAACCTCTGCCTCCCAGGTTCAAGCGAATCTCCTGCCTCAGCCTCCCAAGTAGCTGGGATTACAGGCACGTGCCACCATGCATGGTTAATTCTTGTATTTTCACTTTTATGTTTGTTTTTTATTTATTTATTTTTGAGATGGAGTCTCACTCTGTTGCCCAGACTGGAGTGCTATGGCGAGATCTCTGCTCACTGCAACCTCCAACCCCTGTATTCAAGCAATTTTCCTGCCTCAGCCTCCCGAATAGCTAGGATTACAAATATGCACCACCATCCTCAGCTACATTTTAGTATTTTTAGTAGAGACGGTGTTTCACCATGTTGGCCAGGCTGGTCTCGAACTCCTGACCTCAGGTGATCTGCCCGCCTTGGCCTCCCAAAGTGCTAGGATTGTAGGCATGAGCTACCGCACCCGGCCAGCACTTTGGGAGGCCAAGGTGGGTGGACTGCTTGAGCATAGGAGTTTGAGACCAGCCTGGGCAACATGGTGAAACCCCATCTCCACCCTGGGTAACAGAGTGAGACTCCATCTCTAAATAAATAAATAAGCAAATATAAGTCATTTACTAGCCAAGCATATGGTACTAAAAGTTAATTCATTTGCCAGAAAGGTGATTAAAGTAGGAGGAGCATTCTTTAAGTTTTGAAGCATAAGCACAAGGAATAATCACTTTGCAACTGGTGTTAATACAGACCTGAATCGTTTGAGGTGCAGCCTGAGAACCTGAGGTAGGCGGCATATCATCAGTTGTTTCTGGGCTTCTGTGAGTACAACTGGTTTGGAGGAAAACCTTCTACGCTTTGCTGTAACATCAAAGAATAAAAATCGAATTTAATTTAAAGATGCAGGGAAAAGCTGAGTAAATCTGCATTTTAATTAAGTCACAAAGGAGAAATACCTTCTGTGTTCCAGGCATTGTACTGTGCTAGAGATACAGACATAAGCTTTGCCCTCGAGAAACTCATGATCCGCAATTAAACAAAAAACTTAAGAGCTAGTCAAGTTAGTTAGATCTGTAAACAAGCACATCATTTAATAATAATCTTGCATATAATGTAATAGAAGAAAGTATACTGCTTTATTTATTTATTTAGAGACAGAGTCTTGCTCTGTTGCCCAGGCTGGAGTGCAGTGGCATGATCTCAGCTCACCACAAACTCCGCCTCCCAAGTTCAAACAATTCTCGTGCCTCTGCCTCAGGACTACAGGCATGCACCACCATGCCCAGCTATTTTTGTAATTTTAGTGGAGACAGGGGTTTCACTATGTTGGCCAGGCTGGTCTCGAACTCCTGACCTTATGATCTGCCGCCTTGGCCTCCAAAGTGCTGGGATTACAGGCGTGAGCCACCATGTCCAGCCATAATATTTTCAAATGGAACTGTCTATGCCAATTAATAGGAAAAGTTAAAACATTCCCTAAACATTTTAATGTACATTTCCCAAACTCTTAATTTAAACGTTTGTGGTCAAAAGATTTAAAAAAGAAATAAGAAAAAAAAAATGTGTGGTCAGTTCATTTTCTGAGGCTAGTCAGGACCCCAGAGGAAGGTCCTAAATGCCTAGAACACCCTTCCACTTTTCCTGGGGAACACCCCAGCCCTGGCCAATGGCATAGGAAAGCAGCCCTTCACCAGCTCTGCATCTGAGGCCTCCCTCACTCAAGCATTTTGCTTTTGCTCTTTTTGCACCAGATCTTAGACAGCTGGAACTCAGGATTCTTCTTGTCCTTTCTGCTTCTCTAGAGGTCCACCTATGGACTGTCCTGCAGCTGGGCCATCGGCTACAGTCTGTTCCTGATGTCTAGGAGCTATCCTTCAACTTGTACACCAGCTCCGACTCCAGCCATGGCAGCAGCTGCTTCTTGTGGGAAGTAGGCTCAGTCCACCATGAAGCTGAGCTCTAAGCCACCTTCGCTGGCCATCAGCAGCCTTTCCTCCAGGTGTCTAACCCTGCGATTCAGGTATCTGGCTGCTGCTGAAGCTCCTGGAACTGCCTCTGGATTGTCTCCCAGCACATCTGGTCCAATCGTAGCCAGATAGGGGATGTCAACTCCCCGGTGTATAATTGTAAACGTTTGCCCTGCTGTGTTAAAGCAGATTTTTTAGGCCTGTATTTGGTAGCCTTAGTAAACACATAGAAATTTGCTATAAAACCATATTCTGCATTCATAACATTACCCCAAAATTTGGTGATGAAAGCACTTAGGACTCTTCACATTTATATCCAAGAAAAAATAATACTTTATCATAAAAGCTTTGACAAAGGTTTATTTTTTTTTTAAAAAAAACCTTATAAATTTTATGAGCTCACATTAGACAGCACTCAGAAAAAAGTGTTAAAATTATTCTAGGAAACCATCAATTGATATAACATTTCTTCATTGTGGGAATATCCTGTTTTGTTTTTTTTTTTTTTTTACATTACCTTAAAAGTTTACTCTCTAAAGCCCTAGAATCTATTCTGAGATAAGGAAATTAGGGAGAATACATATATATATACACACACACATATATAAAATATATATATACACACACATAGTATAGTATAAACTAGTATAAACTATAATAGAGCGTCTATATAGTATACTGTACTACATGTTTATACTATATATATAATATTAATACTAAGATGCTATGTAAGTAGATCTTATTCTTTTCTTTAATTTCAATAGGTTTTTGGTGAACAGGTGGTGTTTGGTTACAAGAGTAAGTTCTTTAGTGATAATTTTTGAGATTTTGGTGCACCCATCACCCAAGCAACGTACACTGTAGTCAATGTGTGATGTTTTATCCTTCCTTCCCCTTCTACTCTCTCCCCTGAGTCTCTAAAGTCCACTGGATCATTCTTTTTTTTTTTTTTTTTTTGAGATGGAGTCTTTCTCTGTCACCCAAGCTGGAGTGCAGTGGCACAATCTCAGCTCACTACAACCTCCACCTCTTGTGTTCAAGCAATTATCCTGCCTCAACCTCTTGAGTAGCTAGGATTACAGGCATGCACCACCACACTCAGGTAATTTTTGTGTTTTTAGTAGAGACGGGGTTTCACCATGTTGGCCAGGCTGGTCTTGAACCCCTAACCTTGTGATCTGCCTACGCTGGCCTCCCAAAGTGCTGGGATTACAGTCATGAATTGAGACACAGTATTCTGTCACTGATGCTGGAGTGCAGTGGCGCCATCTCGGCTCACTGCAACCTCTGCCTCCTGGGTTCAAGCAATTCTCCTGCCTCAGCCTCTCAAGTAGCTGGGATTACAGATGCGCTCCACCACACCTGGATAATTTGTGTATTTTTAGTAGGGATGGGGTTTTGCTATGTTGACCAGGCTGGTCTTGAACTCCTGACCTCAAGCCATCCACCCGCCTTGGCCTCCCAAAGTGTTACGATTACAGGTGTGAGCCACTGTGCCTAGCCAGCACTGCAGATCTGATGCGGTTTTACACACCGTTACCTTGGAGGAAGATGCTTCTCTTAAGTGGCTGTTTTGCCCCCAGCGTCAGGTTCCTGTGCTCTCTTCTATTAGAGCACTTATCATAGCAGATCCCGTCTATCTGCTTCCACCACTAGAAATGTCAGCACCTTGAAAGTATCTTACCTCTATCTGTAGACACTGGGAATAACTAACACAGAAGAGACAGTGTATGGTTTTGGATAAATCTTTGTTTTGATGAAGCCAATCTCTACAGCAGCAGTCCAGCATATATTACTTCCTATTTTATGTATATAGACACACATACACACATTTATCTACATAGTATTTTGATACATAGCAAAAAAAAAGCTCATAGAGCAAATGTTTCATTCATCCTACATGACATGCTTTCATTATGCCTCTTTGCTACTTTATTTTGCTGTACATGTCACATTTAAACTTCCTATGATCTTCTCCCTCCAAAATTGTCTGCAGGATCAGAAACAATTTGAATTCCAAAAATACAGCAAAACAAACGCATAGTTCATAAATGCCAATTATAAAGTGAAAATCTGTTTATTTCAATGAACTAAAGTTCATTTTCATAACTGCTAAAGAATTTCAGCTTCCTCTCATCTGCATTTCTCTTTATTATTCCTAGGAGAGCACAGAGAACACACCGTCTTTACTCACAGTTACACTGGTCACATACGTAGATTTTTCCTTCTAAAGCTTCAGTTTCTGTAAATTTGGCCAACATTTCAGTAACCAGACATGGCTGGGAAGCAGTATCTTTTCCACTGCATTGATATCGTTCTGGAAACTCCAATGACAAGTCCCAGAAAGGTTCTATGGTATTTGATTTGTTGTCACATACAAGACATGTAACCTGCAAATAAGAATATTCGTTCCTAAGATTATTATCTTTCAATCAAAACATTAACTCTTTTCACTAGAGGTCACTGCCAGTAAATAAGCTTTTCTCATGAAAATGCACCATTAGAATACTGAATAATCTGCTTTACATTCTTGTCAGGAAATCTTTCATTATAATTTTTCCTTCCAAAAGACTGTTAGTCCCATCATGAATTAGGTGCTTTAACTACTGGGCATTCAAAAAGCTCTAAGGGTATTACATTTAGGTAAAAATCCAAATTGTAGACACACTGAATAGAAACGTATTATATATATGTATATATAGATATATACATATGATGTTTATTCACATGCATTAAATTTAATGTATTTATGTCATTAGTCTTGAGGTTCCTCTCTGTTTCCCCTTCATCTTTTTTTTTTTTTCTGAGGTGGAGTCTTGTTCTGTCCCCTGTACTAGGGTGCAATGGCACAATCTCGGGTCACTGCAACCTCTGTTTCCTAGGTTCAAGTGATTCTCCTGCCTCAGCCTCCTGAGTAGCTGGACTGCAGGTACCAGCTACCATACCCAGCTAATTTTTCTATTTTTAAGACGGGGTTTTGCCCTGTTGGCCAGGGTAGTCTCGAATTCCTGACTTTAGGTGATCTGCCCACCTCAGCCTCCCAAAGTGCTAGGATTACAGGTATGAGCCACTATACCCAGACTCTCCTTCATCTTTTGCTGTTTTTTTTTTTTTTTTCCTAACTCCAAATGCTATAACCTCTTAGCCCAATCCAATCTTAACCATATTAGAAGTAAAATACTATCTTTTCTTTTCATTTATTTTTTGAGATGGAGCTTTACTCTGTCGCCCAGGCTGGGGTGCAGTGGCGTGATCTTGGCTCACTTCGACCTCTGGCCCCTTAGGTTCAAGCAATTCTCCTGCCTCAGCCTCCCCAGTAGACAGGATTATAGATGCGTGCCACCATACCTGGCTAATTTTTTTGTAATTTTAGTAGAGACAGGGTTTCACCGTGTTGGCCAGGCTGGTATCAAACTCCTGACTTCAGGTGATCCATCCGCCTTGGCTTCCCAAAGTGCTGGGATTACAGGTGTGAGCCACTACACCCGGCAATACTGTCTTTTCATTACACAGTTAGGCCCTGACAACTGATTATTTCAAAAGACATGATATGTGACATAAATAATGATGTTATACTCTTAAACATCACATTAAAATCCCCTTCCTAACACAGAAAACGAAAAACATGGAGCTGTTTTAACAACTTACATAGGCAACGTAGCAACTGGAAAGGACCTGAATAGTAACTTCAGTGAAACATTCAGCAGGATTTAATGCCAACAAACACTGCACATAATTGAAGACAGACTCCATGAACTAGCAAGTCACACATGATAGGAAATATTATAAAGAACCTCTTTCATACAAGCTATAGTCCTGGCATAGGCAATGAAATAAAGAAGCCAGTTCTAATACAGATTTTAGATTTAACAAATTGACACAAAGAACACTCCTGGCGTTTATAGTCTAGAGACTCAGTAGTGCCAGGGCCTGACATTATGAGAATTTTCTTGAATTAAAAAAAAAAAGACAAAAGAAAAAATACATAAAAAGCCATTCCAGGCTGGGTGTAGTGGCTCATGCCTGTAATCTCAGCACTTTGAGAGGCCAAAGCGGAGGACTCTTTGAGCCCAGGAGTTCAAGACCAGCCTAGGCAACATAGTGAGACCTCGTCTCCATAAAAAAATAAAAGGAAAACACATTCCAGCAACCAACTGTCTTAAATCTCCTGAGAACCAGTTACCTAAGAGTGTATTAAAGAAAGAAAAGCAATTGGTATAACAATTTGTTTTAATTTCAAAATTCATTTATAAAGGAAAAAACAAGCACAGAGCCACTCTCATATTACCGGAAATATATTTTAAAAAGAAAAAAGAAAAACACTTTCCGGAAAGAACTTTGTCACCAAGTAACAGAAGTCTTACTCTGACAAAGTCAGTGTCCAGGACTCTGTCATAAGGAAATTGGAAAAATTAATTGATGACATCATAAAAATGGAAAAAATTAAAAACAGTCAACAATAGGGGAATGGTTAACTAAATTATGGTATAAACATGATGTTAAACAGAAACATACAAAAAAAATGATGAACATTGAAATGTTTTGAAAAGAACGATGAAATATTTTTAATGACTGGAAAATCATCACAACATTAAATGGGAAAAGCAGGTAAGTGCAAAATGACCAATTATGGGAAAATATGTATATATGTGCAGGAGAAAAAGAGACTAGAGGAAAATATACCAAAATATTTAGTTTACCCATGGATTGTGGGGTTGCAGGATTAGAGAATGGTTTTTCACTTTTTCTACCTAGATTTCTTATATAGGTTTCCTGCAACTATATATTGCACTCTATAATAGCGTATTTAAAAACTTTTGCATAAAAAGGAAATGACGGAGAAAGATGGAGAAGTAAAATTGCATGTAACACAAGTACAACTCTTATTTGCTAACTGACACTGAGTAAAGTCTTTGCATTTTTGAAACACTGAAAAATAAACTTCATAGATATTCCCTAAAGAGAAATACATCTGAAATACTTAAACAACATTCTGGGAAAGTATGCTATAAAAACAAAAGATGACCTTATTACAGTGAAAGTTGAACTGAAGCCGAGTGTGGTGGCATGGTGGCTCATGAGGTCAGGAGTTCAAGACCAGCCTGAACAAGATGGTGAAACCCCATCTCTACTAAAAATACAAAAATTAGCTGGGTGATGTGGCAGGTGTCTGTAATTTCAGCTACATGAGAGGCTGAGGCAGGAGGATTGCTTGGGCTGGAATGCGGAGGTAGCAGTGAACCAAGATCGCACCACTGCACCTCCAGCTTGAGAGACAGAGCAAGATTCTGTCTCAAAAAAAAAAAAGTTGAACTGAAAAACAGATGTGCAGGGGAAAGGAAATGACCTATAAAAAATTTTGTTTAAATCTATGTGTTATGGGAAAGTTGAGGACCTTATGTCTATTAATAATTCATCAATAAGTCCACTGAGTATACAGAACATTTACATAGACGATTGTGGTTTTGTAATCTACCTTTTCATGACAAAGGAAACTTTTGAGCAGTAATTAAAATAAAGGAAAATTATTTAAGATTATTATAGATTAAATTACAATTGTTTACTTTAAAATTTCCCTACCTACTTGTTAAAGCTCTCAGACCATGACGCTTTGGTTTTATAGGAAGTCCTCCAGGGCTACTGCTTGGTACCTGAAATTGGTCAAATGTGCACCATTTTCTTTCTGTTTTCTTTTCTTTTTTTGAGATGGAGTCTTGCTTTGTCATCCAGGTTGGAGTGTGGTGGCATGACCTCGGCTCACTGCAAACCTCCACCTCCTGGGTTCAAGCAATTCTCCTGACAGCCTCCCAAGCAGCTGAGATTATAGGCGTCTGCCACCACACTCAGCTAATTTTTGTATTTTTAGTAGAGACGGGGTTTCACCATGTTGGTCAGGCTGGTCTTGAGCTCCTTACCGCAGGTGATCCACCCACCTCGGCCTCCCAAAGTGCTGGGATTATAGGCATGAGCCACCGTGCCTAGCCATGTGCACTATTTTCATTCCCAGTATAGCAGTATCTTCAAATCTGTTCCTTCTGGGATTTAAACCCTCCTCTTCTCAATCCCTCAGACAATGAATGTAATATTGGTAACCTAGAGAGCTCCATTTCCTGATTTCTCCCTCCCTCCAAAAGCTTTCAATACCATGGATGTAAAACTACTTCCAGTGATTCATAAAAGAAGGAACTGTAAATGTGTGAGCTGATTTATTTACACATATTTATAAAAACAATCTATTTTGACCTGAAAATGGTACCAGCTCAACACACTAGATGTACATAGAATATGCCCTTTTATAGGCTTCACTCTATAATAAACTCTCCATGATAAAAATAAAATTAAAAAAAATCCATACCTGACTAAGAAGTTGTCCATGAAAAATGTTGTTTACAACATTCAGAACTTGTTTGATAAGTTTCCTTTGAGAAGTGGGGATAAGAGCTGGTAAACTGGTACCAGTTGTCTCTAATTCATGTTGTATTTTATCTAAAAGTTCACAAAGAAATTCCTGAGCATCTTGTTGGGCATAACCCCGAAAGGCAGGAATGAGTCTCCACACCGAGTGTAGCATAGCAAATGGTGAGACCAAGGCCCACTTTCCAGACCACATGACTTGGAACAAAGTATGCAATTCATGACAAAGAGAAATGTACTGTGAAGTCGGCTCCCTTGGCTGAATAAGTTCCATCTTTCTACCTTTTGGTGCTCCACCACTGAGTCCTGATGACAAACTTGAATGTCTGGAGCGAACAAAACCTGTATCTTTTTCTTGACATTCATTCATTTGATATGCTACTGTATCAGTGACTGGTGGATGCTTATAAGATCTTGTCTTCTCACTAGCAGTCACAGCCAGCCATTGGTTCAGATCAAGCTTTAAAAAACATTGCCGAAAAATAAGTAAATGACTCAACACCTGAAGAACAGAATTCATATAGCAAGTGTTTCCCAAATTTCTCAATCCTGTTACGCCAGGAGTTACTACTGGCCTTCGTTTAACTGAGGAGTCACTGACTTTTTTAGATCTTTCATCTTCTGAGGTAGAGACCACTTTATCTTTTGCTGGTGATGCTGGAGTCTGTGCTGGCCCCTCAAGAGGAACTATTTCTATTATGGTTGACTGAGAAAGCCCTTGTAAACGTAAACTCTTTCTTGGAGGCATACTTTCCAATTCTACTTTAACTTGATACTCTAATTCTTGCTGTCTTTTCTTTACTTCTCTTTTTACTACTATTTTTTCCTGAAATTGTTCTTCTTGCCTTTTTCTTCCAATGGGTGATTGTTCAAACCATGTTCGAAAGATTTTACCCATTAGGATCCTTCTCCTGTGCCAAAGAGCAGCATACATTTGATCTTCATTTTGAAGCAGAGATTGGGCATCATCATGTAAGAAGTAAGAATCATCACCTGTACCCAAGGACCGTGAAACGCTTCCACTGTGAGTTGTGCAGTGAGAATTTTGACTTTTGATTGCACTTAATGTACTTCGCAGTAACTTCAGGTCTCCAGTTGCATTATCATTAAGAACATAATCATCACAAAGGTAACAAAAAACATACATCTCATTCACCTCCAGTGCAACAGGATGACTGCTTTCTTGAAAGTGCATGAGTGCATGCTCCTCAATATATCTTCCGCAGGCAACATGGGAGCAGCTAAGGCAAGCCCAAATGGACTCGGTCGTGTTGCAGTCCACGCAGTGCCATTTCTGAGGGTTGAGGATGGAGTGGTCTTGAGCAAGCTGCAACTGCCCAACATGTTTGCACTTATCCATTGTTAGCATTTATTTAGCCTAGCTGAGAAACGCATAATCCAAACAAGTCTGTGTTCACCACATTTGAAGCATCTGAAAACTAAACAGAACAATGTCAAGTGTTAATAAAAACAAGATGCAAATATTTTTCATGAGGTGTTTTCCCAAGTATAATAAAGATTTGTATCCTCTATTCCCGATTTCTAGGCTGCTTATCATAACACCATTTGCAGTTCTTACTTTTCCCTTGCTCTAGATGTCCCTAATCTCATATCCACCTCACTCTGAAAGCACAGATATTTCACTTTCTCTCTTTCAATTTTTAATTTAATTCAGTTTTATTATTTTATTTGCGATGGAGTCTCATTCTATTGCCCAGACTGGAGTGCAATGCACAATCTCGGCTCATTGCAACCTCCACCTCCCAGGTTCAAGCGATTCTCCTGCCTCAGCCTCCTGAGTAGCTGAGATTATAGGCGCCCACCACCACGCCCAACTACTTTTTCCGTATTTTTAGTAGAGATGGGGTTTCACCATGTTGGTCAGGCTGGTCTCGAACTCGTGACCTTGTGATCCTAGTGCTGGGATTACAGGCGTGAACCACTGCCCCAGGCAGATATTTCACTTTCTCTGAGTCTCCTTTAACAACTTTTGTTTTTAATTTTTTGCCACCATCTAGTGGTGAAAAATGGGTAGTAACTTTCCACTAGAATAGCTTAAGTTCTATCCTTTTTGCCCAGTAGTCTGAGGGCAATTTCCAAAACTACATTTTTTTTTTTTTTTTTTTTTGAGACAAAGTCTTGCTCTGTTGCCCAGGCTGGAGTGCAGTGGCACCATCTCAGCTTACTGCAACCTCTGCCTCCCAGGCTCACAGGATTGTTGTGCTTCAGCTTCCCAAGTAGCTGGGATTACAGGTGTGCGCCACCATACTTGGCTAATTTGTTTTTTGTATTTTTAGTAGAGACAGGGTTTGGCCATGTTGCCCAGGCTGGTCTTGAACTCCTGGGCTCGGGTCATCCACCTGCCTCAGCTTCCCAAAGTGCTGGGATTACAGGCATAAGCCACTGTGCCTAACCATTTTTCTTAAAGACTGGGGTTGTCAAGACCCAAATGTATCTCACTAATATTTATAAACATTCTGAACCCCATGTTGAGTTAATAAAGCATAATCAAAGATGAAACAACAAGTCTTAAGGCAGAAAAATGTAGATTTGAATTCTACCTTTGCCACACGCTGTTAAATGTATGGTTTTGAGCAAAGGTTTTAACTTCTCTAAACCATCTGTAAAAGAGAGAAAATCATACCAATTTCAATTGAACTGCCGAAGAATTGAGAGACAATATTTATCTGACACATGGTAAATGCTCAATAAATGGTAGTTTTAACTGTAGCTATAGTGAACAAATCTTAATACCCTATTCAAATAAATCAGATATTCTATTTAATTACCATTAAACTTGTTTTTTTCCATTTAGTCAATCAATAATTAATTCATGGCTCTATACCATACTCTGAGACTGAACAGACATGATAGTTGGCTTTAGGGAAAGAGAAAGACAGAAGTGGAGAATGTGCTTTTGTATTTGAATATTCTCAGGAACATACAAAAGGAAATAAAGAGAAAAAAAGGAAGAATATGAAGTGGGTAGCAGTAAGCTTTTATTACATTCTGGCAGGCCTAAACCTATCTGAAATTATAAGCTTATTTTTAAAAAAGCTTATGTGATTTTTTGACACAGAAATTTTTCCTTTATCAAAGTCAGGAACATTTCTGCTGTAAGTTATTTATATGTAATGAACAGAAATCTTATTTAAAAAGTAGTGTTTACAAAACACTTTTTTTTTCATTGATTTAATACAAATTGAAGACAAATTTCAGAGTTTGAGTGGAGACCTAGTTACAAAACACTAAAAACATCCTATGTATCATGACCAAGTCATTAAATTTTTAGGGCAGTTGAAACTGTAAATTTCAATGGTACCTGCAAGTGCCACCTCTAGGGCCTTAGGAAAACTACAAAAGCAGTTGATTTTTGGTTCCTTCCTACCTCTTTTTGTAAAATCTAGTCATCGTTCCTTAGTTTTTAGGTATCCCAAGTCTCACATCTCCCTCCCTCCCTCCCCTCCCCTCCCCCCCCTTCCCCTTTCTTTCTGACAGGGTCTTGCTCTGTCACCTAGGCTGGACTGCAGTGGTGCAATCTCAGGTCACTGCAACCTCTACCTCCCAGGTTCAAGCGTTCTCCCATCTCAGCATCCTGGGTATCTGAGACCACAGGCTTGTGCCACCACACCCGGCTAATTTTTATATTTTTAGTAGAGACGGAGTTTCGCCATGTTGCCCAGGCTGGTCTTGAACTCCTGGCCTCAAACAATCCACTCGCCTAAGCCTCCCAAAGTGCTAGGATTACAGGCATGAGCCACCATGCCCGGCCCCCATCTTCACACGTTTCAAGTGCACATTTTAAATTTACTTCTCTCTCTCTCAAAATTTCCAGAGATTTAAAATCTGGTTGAATATGGTATTTTATTACAACACTTAGGATTTGATAATAGTTGCTAATGGCAAAATTGAGACATCAGTGATTAATATATTCCATTATCCCATATCTTTCTATACTGAGGCAAGAAACCTTGGAGTCATCCTTGACTCTCTGTAAATCAACTCTTCAAGAAAAATGGTTGGCTCCATCTTCAGAATAGACCGAGAATCTGACTACTTAGTACCTCCACTGCCACCAATCTGATCCAGCTACAATCAAGTCTTAGCTGGATTACTGCAGTAAGGCCCCAGATGGTCTCTCCACTTCTGTCCTGACTGCCACCAAGTCTACTCTCAACACACAGTAGCACCATCTGCATCTAGACCTAGACAGCCAGTTACTTTAGGGACCCCTTGCTGTGGCCTTCCTCCATTAACACATAGTCAGCAAGGCCAAGGGCATGTGGCCACCTGAAGTCTGCATACACCAGCAACTCCCCTTCTAGAACTACTTGCTGGTACCGGGGACTCAGAGAATTACTTTCCCCAATCATCCCCAAGCTTGCTTCTAGGGCCTATGAGCAACAAAAAGCTACTGATGAAATCTGTAGAGGAGAATGATATGATCAGATCTATGGGTTACAGAGGGATCTGAATTACAAAGAGCTCTGAAGAAGGGACAAGTGATTAAGAGAGACTAGGTGTCCAGAAATTATAAGGCAATTAAAGCTGTAGCAGTTTTGAAGAAGGGGGCAGAGTAGAATTAGTACTTAACAAACACTGGTTGAGAAAACTGATTCAATTTGGAGGTTAAGGGAAAAATCTAGGGCTCTGTATTACCTTTTATTCAGTTACACATGTTATTGGCAGTTCAACATTCTTAGGCCGGGTGCAGTGGCTCACACCTGTAATCCCAGCACTTTGGGAGGCCGAGGTGGGCAGATCACGAGGTCAAGAGATTGAGACCATCCTGGCCAACATGGTGAAACCCATCTCTACTAAAAATGCAAAACTTAGCTGGGCATGGTGGCACGTGCCTGTAGTCCCAGCTACTTGGGAAGCTGAGGCAGGAGAATCTCTTGAACCTGGGAGGTGGAGGCTGGAGTGAGCCAAGATCACACCACTGCATTCCGGCCAGGCAACAGAGCAAGACTCTGTCTCAAAACAAACAAACAAACAAACAATCAAACAAGAATATCCTTGCAGAGAATGCCAGCATTTACTCTCAAAAAAGATCATTTCATTCCAAAATTTTAAACAGGTAAAATGAGTTAACACCTTACACAGCATTCAGAAAAGGCTCCATAGAAAAAACCCTGGTGAGGATATATACATTTATTCTGAGGTTATCTCTGGGTAATGGGACTGCAAATTACTGTGCTTTCTTTATTCATCCATACTTTCAAAATTGTAAAAATAACAAAATAAGTTTTACATAAAAACAGCTCAGATAGTGTTATGTCTGTGCTAAATTATACACTAGCCTCTTTACTCCTTTCTCTACTCTGCAAATACATTCATTTGAATATAAAAAAAGTACCCATTTCATTGAAGCTATTGCTAAAAAAATCTATTTAGATGATAGCAAAGTATTTGGCCTTCAACAGGAAGTGGCATCTATAATTGAACACATGATTCTACTTGACACAAAACTGTGAAAAGGGTGAAATCTTGATTAGATGTCATCCATCTGAGAGACATTTTGGTAGAAGAGAGGTATTACAGTAGAATGGTTAGAGAGCACCCCTGGAATCTAAATCCCCGAGTTTAACACTTGACAGGATTTACTATGTGACCACAATTATGTGCTACATACCTCAGTTTTCTTATCTGTAAAGTAACAGTGGTAATAATACCAAAAGGGCTGTTGGAATTAATTAGAACAACTTCTGCACTTAATAATACGGCCCTCAGTACATCTTAGCTGCCAATTGCAACAAAATAATAAATTATTATTATAAATGCTAGTTTCCTTCTAGTTGATCACTGTTAGCCAGGGGTTCTGTCTTCTCAGCCACATGTGTACTAAGTCCAACTAAGGTGCTAACAGATAATCAAGATGTTAGCTAAGGACTAAGGTCTGACCTCTCCCAGGGGTATTTGCATTTTAAAAGGGGGTCTCTTAAAGATAAAATCTTTTTAAAAATAGAACTATGTGAAACCAGAATAGTGGAATGGCAGATCACGAGATTAATATTTTAGGGCAGGGGGCCCATTTACCCTATTTATGAAAGAAACCAGTAGCAGGTGGACAACAGAGGCAGGGGCAGGGTGGAAAGCAGGAGCTGAGAGCCAGGCCACTGTCACCAGAGATCTCCAGTTTGTGCTCCAGCCTGGAGCTGAAGCTCAGACAGTTACTAGGGTATCCCCAAAGGGGCCTCATCACACAAAGATCTAAGAGCTTGGAGAAAAGAAAGGAGGATGGGAGTATTTTCTTGACACTTCCTATTTTCCTCCACTGGGTTCAGAGCACCTCTTTTCATTTGCTAATCCACTGCTGTGAAGCTATGCATTAACTCTGGCACCAGCAGACTGGATATATGAATTTTGGCAGTGCATTCATTTTAAAGATGTATTACCTAACAAAACATTTTTATATCCCTGATGCAGATTCTGATAA